GCCTCTCTGTTATCTCGTGCCCCCTCCACCTCCCCTGTGTAACAAGTGCACCACTTTGAGGAAGATATTTTTGGAGGCAAAGGAACTGTCCCCATGTGTAAAATGTGCCCTGGGAATTGGTCTGGCTCCCTGGGTTTATGCTCTTGTCCACTTCCTCCCAAAGCACTGACTATTTCCTTATCTCAGGAAAGACAATAAGTGCAAGATAGCCTTCAAAACATACTTTAGCCAATTTCAATCCATGTTAACGCGCCACTCAACTTTGAGGGATTAATGCCCCACAGCTGATACGACCTCTTAGACAGGAGTCATATTTTATGTACAGTACCACAACATTTTCTCTCAAACTGATCTTGTATAAATTTCTAGTCAGGGTGGTATTACTCTGCTTGCAGTGACACCAACTTCAAGACAACTGCAAGGAACGTCTGTTAGATATTATCACCACCATGTACTCAGAATCTGCAACAGACAGGCAAACACCCTAACCTGAAAGTCAGAATCCTGGGAGCCACTGAGGTAGACCCATTCTAAAAATTCTTCAGCCTGAAAACATTGCGGCCAATCAGCCCCAGTTCCAGCTAACAGAGGCAATGGGCAAAGCAGTGGAAAACTAAGATTTTGTGACCATCCCAGTGGCTCTGGGAAGCTTATACTATTGAGAAATCTGCAACATAAATTTGGAAAAGTAGAAGGTCCACCCAAGTACTTTTGCACTACCCCATATGTCCTTCGTGGTCCATTCAAAGCATTAAATCTGGTCTTATGGCAACTCCTAATTTATGGCCTGGCTCTAGAAGAAACTGTCAGGGCCCTTCCTTCGTATCTATTTATCACAAAAAAACATATGGAGTATAGTATTAACTGGGTGAGCGAAGAACCTGTGTTATACCATCTACCAACAAAATGATGGATTCATCTACCTTGCCATGGTGGAGTTATAAAGAGTTCATTGCATCCCTCTACCCAGAACATGCCCTTTCACAAGTAGCTGTGGCATGATTCTCACCTACCCCTCACCACCCTTCACCTCAGGTGGCTTCCAAAACTTGGCAGCTTGCAGAAGCTATGGGTTACCAAAAATATCTTCCAGCTCGCCAAATACTGATCTGAGGAATATGCCAACTGGTGCTTGAGTCAAGAGGAAGGCATCCAAGTGGGTGATGCTGTCCAATACACCTCCAAGCACACAGTAACCCATACAGGAAGCTGGAAGACTACTACTTGGAAACTGAGATAATAGAGAGCATCATCTGGCTGTACCCTAAAGAACAGTCTGAGCCCTCGGGACCCGATAAAGAGCTCCCACTGTCACCTGCACCCAGACCAATAATTACTTGTAGTCCAGGTCCCATTGCCTACTAGGAATATGCTCTTGCTCTCTCTCCTCAGTCTACACTTACTTGGCCATAGACGTTGTGACACCCTCACTTAGCCCAAAGTCAAACGACCAAACTCAAATGACACTGCTTCTAGGAAATGGCCCCTCATTGCTATAAACTGTGATGAAGTAAATTCAGCCCCTGGTTCAGTCCAGGCTTCCACCTGCCCAAGCCCTCAACTGTCAAGGGAGGGGATTCAAACAGTGTCCCACTCTGGTAATGTCATTGTCTCAGAGAATGTTAAAGGAGATTTCCACTAGAGTGCAAAAGGGAGTGTGGAGGGACAGATGATGACGAATGCGTGGGGCCAAGCAGGATGAAGGGGGAAAGCAGGAGCTGGGGAAGGACTATAAAACAGAGGTGGGGGGGCTTCCCTGGTGGCACAGCGGTTAAGAATCTGCCTGCCAATGCAGGGGACACGGGTTCGAGCCCTGGTCCAGGAACATCCCGCATGCCGCAGGGCAACTAAGCCCGTGCACCACACCTACTGAGCCTGCGCTCTAGAGCCCACGAGCCACAACTACTGAGCCCGTGATCCACAACTACTGAGCCCGCGAGCCACAACTACTGAGCCCGTGAGCCACAACTACTGAAGCCCGCGCGCCTACAGCCTCTGCTCCGCAACAAGAGAAGGCACTGCAATGAGAAGGCCGCGCACTGCAACGAAGACCCAACACAGCCAAAAATCAATTAATTAATTAATTAAAACAGAGGGGGCATCCCCACCATCCACCAGAGGTGAGTCAGCTATCTTAACAATTTCAAGAGAGAATGGCAAATTTTGACCCAGTTCCTGACAAGCCCAGGATTCTGAGATGCAAGCCAAATCTAGCCTATTTAAGCAGAACATGAATTTATTAAAAGAATATTGGTCGGATTACATCAAACTAAAAAGCTTCTGCACAGCAAAGGAAACAATCAGCAAAATGAAAAGGCAGCCTATAGTACGGGGGAAAATACTTGCAAACCATGTATTTGATAAAGGGTTAATATCCAAAATATATACGGAATTCCTATAACTCAACAGCAAAAAAAAAAAAGAAAATCCAACAAAAAATGGGCAGAGGATCTGAAAAGACATTTCTCCAAAGAAGACACACAAATGGCCAACAGGTATATGAAAAGATGCTCAACATCTAATCATGAGGGAAATGCAAATTAAAACCGCAACGTCACCCCACACCTGTTAAAGTGGCTATAATCAAAAAAACCCACAAAAGATAACCAGCATTGGTGAGGAAAAAAGGGAACCCATGTGCACTGTGGTGGGAAAGCAAGTGGGTGCAGCCAGTATAGAAAACAGTAAGGTGGTTTCTCAAGAAATTAATAGAACTACCATATAATCCAGCAATCCCACTTCTAATAGATATCCTGAAAGGAATGGATATCACGACCTCAGAGAGATATCTGCACTCTCATATTCATTGCAGCATTATTCACAACAGCCAAGATATGGAAGCAACATAAACGTCCATCAACGCATGAATGGGTTTTTTATACTTTTTAATTTTATTATTTTTTGAAATGTTGATTTATTTGTTTATTTGGCTGCGCCAGGTCTTCGTTGCAGCACGCGGGGTCTTCGTTGCGGCACGTGGGATCTTTTTTAGTTGTGGCATGCAGGCTCTTAGTTGCGGCGTGAGGGATCTAGTTCCCTGACCAGGTAATTGAACCCTGGCCCCCTGCATTGGGAGGGCGGAGTCTTAACCACTGGACCATCAGGGAAGTCCCTGAATTTTTAAAATGTGGTATATGCATACAGTGGAATATTATTCAGCCTTAAAAAAAAAAAAAAGGAAATCCTGCCATTTGCAACAACATGGATGAATCTGGAAGACATTATGCTAAGTGAAATAAGCCAGACACAGGACAAATACTACATGATACCACTTGTATGAGGAATCTAAAATAATCAAACTCATAGAAGCAGAGAATAAAATGGTGGTTGCCAGAGGCTGGGGGGAGGAAGAAACAGGGAGGTAGTAATCAAAGGGTATAAAATTTCAGTTATGCAAGATGAATAAGTCCTAGAGATCTACTATACAGCACAGAGCCTATAGTTAATACTGTGTTATATACTTAAAACTTCACTAAGAGGTTAGAGCTTATGTTAGATGTTCTTGTCAAAAAAATAATAACAACAATAAACAAAGAAGGTGGGAGGAGATTTTTGGAGGTGATGTATATGTCTGTGGCATAGATTGTGGTGATGGTTTCACAGGTGTATACTTATTTCCCAACTCATTAAGCTGTATATATTAAATATATACAACTTTTTCTGTTATACAATGAAGTAGTTTATAAAAAAAGGAATATTGGGAAACATATAAAAATTGTAGAAGGAACAGGGAACAAAGCTTGGCAGAGGGTAACCAGAAACAATGTTCCGAATCATGCTGCAGACCTGGCTGGGCACAGACGCCACTGCATTCGATGCTGTGGTGGGCACTGCTGACACCAAGGACCCTGGGCCCCGGATACTGCTGCTCGAAACAAGATGCAGCTTCACTGCCCCAACTTCCATCAACAGAAAAAGACTTTACATGGTCCCAGCTTCTTTGCAACCCCAATCTTTGATTCAAAATCTGGAGAAGATGTGTTGATTGGCCTACCAAAACTCTTTGCCCATGGCCTCGCTACACAAGAGGCTGGGTGTCTTGGTCCATTCAGGCTGCTATAACAAAATACCATAGACTGGGTGGCTGATAAACAACAGAAATTTATTTCTCACATTTCTGGAGGCTGGAAGTCCAGGATCAGGATGCCAGGTGAGGGCCCTCTTCCAGGTTGCACACTTCTTATTGTTTCCTCACATGGCAGAAGGGGCAAGGAAGCTCTCTCAGGTCTCTTTTACAAGGGCACTAATTCCATTCATGAGGGCTCTGCCTTCATGAATCACATCCCAAAGGCCCCACCTCCAAATACCATTACCTTGGGCATTAAGTTTTCATCAAGTGAATTTGGGGGGGATGGGAACATTCAGACCATAGCACTGAGTAAGGAAGGTCTGGTTTTTTCAGTCACTGTAAGATACAGATTTTGCCTCAGAGGAGATTCCTAAACTCCCATAAGAATGCTAAGTCTACACTACCCTACTCTACACTGCCTTTCCAGCTGCCGGCCCCGTCCCTCTCCACTTTACCCAGCATTAGTCCAGCTCTAAGTCAACAGCAAGCTGAGACCTCTCTAGCGCTTCTAACGCACTTGATATCTTGCTGCCCGAAATGCTCTTCCTGATACTACTATGTCCCATGAATCCCTTCTTATCCTCCAACACTTAGCTTAAACATAATTTCCCCTGTTAGACCAACTGAAGCTCTGCAAATATGCCAATCTCAGGAAAGGAATATCCATCCAGACAAGGGGCCTTTTTCACCTACACTAACCCTAAGTGTTTGTCAATATCCTGATTCTAGCAGGAGGCCACTCAAAACCAGGAGTCAGGGAGCAGCAAGAGAGTAGTGAGGAAGGTCTGATCACTGTTCTCCCTCCCTCCCCTCTGTCACAGGCATTTTGATTTGACTCCTGAGATCCTGAGAATCGGATGTGAGTGGCTTGGAGAGATCCCTGCCCTGTGCCTGGTTGGCATGGAGACCAGAGACTCAGAAAGTCAAATAACCCCATTTGCTAAGTACTCAGAGCAAGTCTGCTCTCGTTTCAGACCAGAAAGAACCAGAGCCCACTAGGCTTCCCCCTATTATCTCAGAAGATGGGAATCATTCCGTGCACCAGAATAGCCACACAAGGTACCAGGAAGCTGTACGGAAGGTGTTGTTAAAGACATGTAAGTATCTTGGATTTGTCACCTGCTAGGGGCAGAAAAGATGTGTCTGAGTTCCTAAAGAATGGCTGGGATGTGGTGGGGCATTGTTACAGAGCAGGGGATGGGGGCAAAAAGAGCCAAGAAGAGACTGAGAAGAAGAAGGAGAAAGTAGACTTGAATGGTGGGGTAAGAAAGATAAAATAAAAACTGAATCAGACTTGGAAGCAGAAGATCCAGGTGTGAGTACTATTTCTGTCTCTTTTAAGCGTCTCACCTTGGGCAATCACTTATCCTTTTGTAACCTGCTTCCTCGTTTATTTAAAAAGACAAAACAAAAAACCAGAAAATGCCTACTCTACCAATCTTACAGAATTGTTGTGAGGATCAAAGCTTTGGAATTTGAACTGAGTTTAAACTCCAAACAAGCCGTGTGACCTTGGGGAAATTCCTTCAACCACTTAATCTCTCTGGATCATCTGAAAATCGGAATTATACTGCCGCATTTTTTGTGAAAGTTAGAGAAAATGTACATTTAAAAAAGCACCTAGGACAACCTACTGAAACATGCAAATACTGAGGAATCTCCAGGGAATTCTACTGTGTAAAGAAAGCCAGTCCCAAAAAAGATCCCATACTGTATGATGCCATTTACATAACATTCTTAAAATGACAAAATTATAGAACTGAAGAGCACATTATTGATTACCAAGGAGTGGAGGTAGGAGGATGTGGTTATAAAAGGGCAACTCCAGGATTCTGTGGTGGTAGAACCGTTCTGTATCAATATGTTAATACCCTGGTTGTAATAAAGTGCTATAATTTTACAAGATGTTACCTCGGTGGGGGCTGGGAGGACATGGCTAAAGGGTACACAAGATCTCTGTCTTTCACTTCTTACAACTGTATGTGAATCTATCATTATCTCAAAATTAAAGTTTAATTTAAAAAAACAAATACTTTCAGAAACTAAAAAAGATACGCATGAAGAGGAATATCTGTTATTTCTACGAGCAAAACTTTTTAAAAGCTTTTTATCGATTAATAGGAAAACAACTAAGTGAAAAATATAACATCTACTCAATAGCATATTAGGGATTTAAAAAATAATAATGATTATAAAGACCATACAGCTAGAATATTAGGCTATAATTTTTTGTTTTAAAAATATACAAATTTTATGGGCTTCCCTGGTGGTGCAGTGGTTGAGAGTCCGCCTGCCGATGCAGGGGACACAGGTTCGTGCCCCGGTCCGGGAAGATTCCACATGCCGCAGAGCGGCTGGGCCCGTGAGCCATGGCCACTGAGCCTGCGCGTCCGGAGCCTGTGCTCCACAACGGGAGAGGCCACAACAGTGAGAGGCCCACGTACAGCAAAAAAGAATAAAAAATATATATATATATATATAATTTTTATACACTGGTATAGATTTATTCAAATAAATAAAAAGTGAAAATCCAAAAAAAAAGAAAATCTAGGTAAGTCTGGTATTATTTCAAAATTTTAAAAACACTTAATACCTAATACAACATTTAGAACATAACAGGTGCTTGATAAATGATATCTATTAGTAATATCCAAACATGAGGTAGTATCACTGCTAAATTTCAGAGAATTACCTGAAATGAGCAAAGAGGGAAAAAAAAAGAACCAGTAGACTCACCTTGCACATTTTCCAAGTGTGTTGGGTGGTTAGAACTCTGTGCTCTCACTGCCGAGGGCCCGGGTTCAATCCCTGGTCGGGGAACTAAGATCCCACAAGCCGTGTAGCAGGGTCAAAGAAAGAAAGAAAACAAACCACGTGGGTTGACCACTTGTTTTTCCACCACCTTAGCACTTGGGGAAAGCTCTCTTGGAGATGGGCTTATAGCAGAAGCAGGAAGAACCAAGACTGATTGCACTGACCATGCAGGAAGGGTGCGAGATGCTGGAGAGATGCTGGAATCCAGAAGTGGAACTCAGTGTGGTGACCACATTTCCAGGACTTCTCAGCACCTGGTCAGGCCCAGTTGCTAGGCTGGGCTTGTGATGCCCTGAGGCGCAAAAGGGAGCAGACAACTCTAAGAAATTGGATAACCTGCCCTTCCCCCAACCATTCAGTCCCCAATCAGGTCTTCAGAGTCCCCCTGACTGATGCTCAGAACTTCAGCTTCTGGCGGTCCCACAGTCCAGGAGTGCGCCCAGAGGACACCATGCCATGGATCCGGAGCCCCCGCCACTGCCTCATCAGAAGCCCAATGACCAGGTTAGGCTGGAAGGGTGAGGGTGGGGAGATCAAGGGAAGTATTACTCCTTCCCCTCACTGAAATCCTTGGGAGACTCTTGCATTTCTAGTCAGAGTTGGGAAATGGAATAGGAAGTTTTGGTCTTACCAGGGACAACTGGCCCCAGAATCTGGGCAGTGCTGGCATTCAAAGGAACTAAAGATTGGTCTGTGTCTTTGCGTTTTGCCTTACGGATATGACTTCTGAATAGACACAAGGATCTACAGCACTCCTGTGGGAGGCCCGGGGTGTTTCAGCTCGCACCCCTCTAACCACCATCCATTGGCAGGAGCCCCACTTCTTCATCACCACCTCTGCCCATTCTAGGCTTGAGCACCCCCGCCCCCATCCAGCCTAACCTGGCTGAATCTGAGACCCTACCTCTCTTTTCCAGGTTTATAGATCACTCTATTCTCAATGACAGAAACTTCAGTCTATATTGAGCAGGATGTGTTTGCAGAAGAACAAGATAAACTCTGGATGGAGGGCAAAGAGGGAAAGAGGGAGGTGTGCTGGTTCCAATGGCTGCCTAATGGGAGGAGGGGATTGAGAACACGGAATAAACAGATTGGACTAGAAGGCACTCGTGTGCACTGCAAGTGAGGGGGAGGGAAATTATTCCAATACCCAAATTCCTGGGAGATCAGGATTGTGAGAGATTCCTGAAGGAGCCAGAACTTGGTGTTTGGCTTGGGAGGGGCCAGGGCACTGGAAAGACCACCATAGGGGTTCCTGAGCTCATGCATGGCAGGGGTCGGAGTGACAAATCTCGGAAGACACCCTGCCCCTCGTGATGCTGACAGGTCTTGGAGTAGTCATGCTCTGTGAAGACGCTGCCGTTTCACCTTGGCAAGAAGAAAACCAGAGGAAGCCCTCTGACCACAGACGAGAGAGGTCCACAGAGCCCCCAGACTGGGGCCTGCCTCCTACGCCAGGCTCTGCCACTTCTGACCCAACCCACAGCCCAGAACAGCTGCAGAGAACAGGGAATTTTACAAAGAGTTTGACTTTTATTGATATTTAAATATATTAAATATTTCACTGAAATACATGGTATACACACCCTCCCCCCCTACAAACACACGCTGGTTACATTATAAAACCAAAGTCCATGGGCCTCCCATCCACTGACTCCCCCACCCCAACTGGCGAGGAAGGGGGCAACGTCAGCCCGGGGGAAGCACACGGCTGGCACTGCGGTACAGGGAGCCAGGGTGTGGACAGGTCCCTCCCACCTGGCAAGAAGCAGAGACAAGTCACCCAAGACTGCAGTCTTCCCACTCTGGTCTCCTTACAGCCTCATCCCCACCCCAGGACCCCACGCAGAACCTTCCTGTCCAGGGATGTGGCTGAGGGAAGGGGAGTTGACTTTCTGCCTGGACCAACTAGTCTTTTCCCCTTCTCCTGCCTTGGCTAATGAAGTGACCGATGGCCCATTTGGGTGATGCATGAAGATCCCCCAAAGCAGGCAGTACGAGCCAGAAACCAGGCTTCTGTGAGGAGCTAGAGTCAGAAAGGACACGAGAAAGGGCAAGACCTGCCCCTTCCAACCCCAAACCCAGCAACTCTGGGACCCTCTCTCCTCTGCCTCTCTAACGCCTCAAAGACAAAGTGATCTTCAAGCAAAATCCTGGCTAATGCCTCTGGCTTAAATAGGTACAGACAGAGAAACCAAGGCACCAACTAATTCAGTCCAGAGGCAAGGAGGTTGCAGGGAAGTGGATAAAAGGCAGGCAGGGACAGGAAGGGAATCTAGGGTCCAGCCCTCCTAACCCTCCTGCCAGCTTTTGCAGGCTTCGTGTGGACTGGGGAGCCCGGAGTACGCTAGGCTCAAGCTGAAGGCTGGGGAAGGCTGAGGTCCAGGTTCCCCTCCCTTAGCCCTTAGTACCAGAATCTGGGTCCTCAGAGGGATCCCATGCTACCCCAGCCCCAAAGCATACCACATCCCAGGACACCAGCTGGGGAGCCCAGGAAACTCCTGAGCCTCTGCCCACCAAAGCCCAGACAGTTCAAGTGCAAGGAGCACTGTGGGCCTCAAGCAGGCGCTTGGGTCCCTGCCCCAGGCAGGGAGACAGTCGTGCTGCACACGTGGCCCCCAAACGGCACTTAGGGATTTGGCACAAAAAGGACTCCTCTCCCCAGGGCCACCCTCTTGCTACCACACCCCATCCCACTCCTGTGCAACAGGGGCATCTCTCTCCATCCCTTGAAATCAGAAATCCTGCCTTATTCCCAGAAGACAGAGGCCCACAGGAAAGAGGCAACCCAGGGTGGAGAGCGAAGGAGCAGGACCACAGAGACACACAGACCGGGAAAACAGACACACACAGACCACCACGCACGCACGCTTACACAGACGCGCAGACCACCACGCAGCCACGGTTACACACACACGCAGACCACCACGCACGCACGGTTACACAC